CACACACACACACACACATACATATATAGATGTATACAGTAGTTTTAGATGGACACAATACCTTAATTGAATCTATTCATTTATATTTGGTGCTGAGGATTGAACCCAGGGCCTCACACATGCTAGGTAAGTGCTGTACCACTGAGGCACAACCCCAGCCCTCTTCACTCACTCTTGAGCACCAAAGCCTTTTATATGAAAGAGGTTTCAAATAAATGCATCCAGGAGAGGATGGAGGCTGTTCTGGGGCTCATAGTTAGGAAGGAATAGTTTCTGTGTATGCAAGTATAGGTGCAGAGAGAATTGGGGCACAGGGCAAATGATTCCTAAATTCTCATTGAAAGAAGTCAGAATAGATGTTTCTCAGGGTTTTTTTTTTTTTTTTTTTTGTCTTTCTGCTTCTTCTTTCTCTTCCCCTTCTTCTCCTTCTCTATTCTTTTTCTCCACCTCCCTCTCCTCTTCCTCCTCCTCCTCTTTTTCTTCTTCATCTTCTCCTTCTCTTCTTCCTCCTCCTCCTCCTCTTTCTCCTCCTCCTCCTTCTTCTTATTCCCCCTTCCTCCTCCTCCTCTCTCTCTTCCTCCTCTTTCTTCTGCATGCATGAACTCAAGGTCTCACACAGGCTAGGCAAGTACTCTACCTCTAAGCTACCCTCCTAGCTATTTTTATTTTGCCACAGGGATTCTCTAAGTTTCCCAGGCTGGCCTTGAACTTTTGATCCTCCTGCCTCAGGCTCAGAGTAATTGGGATTTCAGGCCTGTACCAGTGGGCCTCTTGTTTTCTGTTGGCCTGTTGCAAGTTGATAGTCTTCCCCCTGGGTTCCCTCCCTCCAAGAATGGCCATCCACATGCCTTGTGTCTGCTCATGAAGGAGCCTCCCCAGTTTGCTATCTACTTGTTCTCTCTCAGTCAAGCAGGGCAGTGAGGGTGGGATGGTGGTGGTTCATGGCACCTTTTAAAATAATTAATCTGGGGCTGGAGTTGTGGCTCAATGGTAGAGCGCTCACCTAGCATGTATGAGGCACTGGGTTCGATCCTCAGCACATAAATGTAAAATAAAGATACTGTGTCCACCTAAAACTTAAATATAAATATTTAAATTAAAAAATTAATCTGATTTAACTGGTAGTTTCCCAATCATTATATCACTGTGTCTGGGAGCTTCCCAATCATTATATCACTGTGTCTGGGAGCCTGATGGTGGTTCTTGACCAAGGTTTTATCTAATATTGCAAAAGTGAAATTCCTATCTCAATAGCCAAGGATCCCAAAGGTCTTTTTCATTCCTACCCTCTCTTTCATCTTACAACTTGATGTTTCATTATTTCAAAATACCTATCCCCTTTTGAGCAGAAGTTCTAAGGATCAATCTACTTTCTCTTCCTGGTACCAAAATTCACAGCTTCCCACCCCTCTGTCTATTACTAATATGGCCCTGTCTCATTTCTTCTATTTAAGCCTTTTTATTTGGAAATATTTTTTTAAAGATTTTTTTAAAGAGAGAGAGAGAGAGAATTTTTTAATATTGATTTTTAGTTTTTGGTGGGCACAACATCTTTATTTTATTTTTATATGGTGCTGAGGATCGAACCCAGCGCCCCGCGCATTCCAGGTGAGCGCTCTACTGCTTGAGCCACATCCCCAGCCCTGGAAATATTTTTAAACCTTTGGAAAAGCTAAAACATTAAAAAGGAAAAAGTGACAGAACTCCAATAGCCATTTGCACAGATTCACTTATCAGTTCTTTTCTTTTTAAAAAAGAAAAGAACTGTTCTGTCTAGATATACATGACAGTAGAATTTTTTTTTGTGTGTATGTGGTCCTGGTAATTGAACCCAGGGCCTTGTGCATGAGAGACAAGCACCCTACTAACTGAGCTGTATCCCCAGCCCAGCAGAGTGCATTTTGACATATTATACATACATGGAATATTACTTAGGATCCCACTCTCTGGTTGTACATGATATGGAGCTTCACTGGTCATGTATTCATATATGAACATAGGAAAATTTTCATTCTACTGTTTCATTCATTCTACTGTCTTTCCTATTCCTACCGCCTCCCTTCCTTTCATTCCCTTTGTTTAATCCAGTGGCTTCTATTCTTCCCTCTCCCTCCACATAGTAGAGAGAACATTCAGCCTTTGATTTTGGGGGGTTTGGATTATTTCACTTAGCACAATAGTTTCCAACTCCATCCATTCACTGGCAAAAGTCATAAAACCACTCTTTTTTATGGCTGAATAATATTCCATTGTGTCTACATACCACATTTTCTTTATCCATTCATCTGTTGAAGGGCACCTAGGTTGGTTCCATAGCTTAGATATTGTGAATTGAGCTGCCATAAACATTGATGTGGCAGCATCACTATAGTATGTTGATTTTAAGTCCTTTGGGTATAAACAGAGGAGTGGGATAGCTGGGACAAATGGTGGTTCCATTCCAAGTTTTCTGTGGAATCTCCATCCTGCTTTCTGGAAAGTGGTTGTACTAATTTGCAGTCTCACCAGCAATGTGTAAGTGTGTTTCTTTTCTTTTTCACCTCTAGGGCCTTGAGTGTGCTAAACACATGCTCCAGCCCTGAGCCATACCACCAGCCCTAGATTCACTTCTTATCATTTTGCCACATACACTTTATCATTTACCATCTATCCACCTATAATATATTTTCTGAATCATTTGAGAATAAGTTGACCCTTTAACTGTGGGTACTTCAGTTATATCCTAAGAATTAGGATTTTCTCTTACATAACCATATTAGAGTTAACAACCTCAATTAATTTAACACCAAGGAAATACTTTTATTTGATGTGTTCATATCCACAACTGATTTCATAATTTACTTTATGGCATTTTTTCTTCCATTACAGGAACCAGTCTAGGGATAGGAACTGCATTCATTATTTTCTGTCTCTTTGATCTCCTTCAGTCTGGAGCATTTCCACAGTCTTTCTTCCTTTCTTCTTTCTTGTTTGGTACCAGGGATTGATCCCAGGAGCACTTAACCACTGAGCCGTATCCCCAGCCTTTTTTTTGTATTTTATTTAAAGACAGGGTCTCATTGAGTTGCTAGGGCCTCGCTAAGTTGCTGAGGCTGGCTTTGAACTCATGATCTTCCTGCCTCAGCTTCCCAAGCTTCTGGGATCATAGGTATGTGCCACCATGTTCAGCATGTTCCATAGCTTTTCTACGCCACTTATAACATTGAAATTTTTTAAAGTTTTTTTTTTTTTTTCTCATTTTGTGTGTCTGATTTTTTCCTCTTGGTCAGAGTCCAGTTCCACATTCCCCATTGCAATCTTACGTAGGCCACCTATAGATACAGGCACATGACACCTTCCTGCCCCTCACTGTGATGTTGAATTGTATAACTAGGTTGTTAGCCAGTTCTCCTCTCTATAGTTACCACATCTTCCCTGGTACTAAACAGCAATCTGTGGGAGACATTCTAAGATCATACAAATATGCTTCTCATCAAAATTTCCCCACTACCTTGATTTAGAATTTATTAATGATTCTTTCCTAACTAATCTTTATTATGATGATTATAAAATGTGTAAGAATCGTCTTCTGTTCTCCATTTATGTATTTGTTTCTTTGCTTATCATCAGTTTATTGTATGGTTGAAGATTCTTATTTTTTCCCCAAAGCCCTATAAGTCAAATTCAATACTGTCTTTAATAATTTCGTGCTCATCTGGATTGATGGTATATGCCTGTAATTTCGGCTATTAGGGAGGCAGGAGCATCTGAAGTTTAAGGCCAGCTGGTGCAACTTAGTGAAACCCTGTCTCATAATAATATTTAAAAATCAAGGGCTGGGAATGTATTTCTGAGGTATAATGCTCCTGGGTTAATTCCCCAGCATAGGGAAAAATAAAAGTGAGCTCAAGAATTCTCAGATCTGATCTGGCCAATGGAAAGCTCTTCAAGCTCTCTCTTGTGTCCCTGTGACTTTTTTTTTTTTTTCCCTCTTTTTCTAGCGCTGGGAAATTGAATCCAGGGTTTACACATACTAGGGCAAGGTCTGGGCCACTGAGCTACATCCCCAGCCTTCATCCCCAGCCTTCTTGTTTTTGTCGGGTTGCTGTTGTTATTGAGTGTGGCATGTTTTTAAGCTCTCTCTTACTTTCTGGCATAAAAAGATCCTCCTTGCTCATTTTGTACTGTTCCCCTTCTCATCTTCAGCCTTTCTTCCCAGGCCACCTCTAGAGTGAGCTCTGCAGGTGGAAGGCTTGAAGGTGGTGCTTCAGGAGTACAGAAGACGGGGGGTGGGGGGTGCTAAGAGCTGGTACAGTGCTCAGCAGTCTGAGATGCTGCAGAAGGGCTCAGAGCATGCCCTCTGAGTCCTCTACTGCTGTCCCAGGCAGGTATTCCGCACAGAGAAAAGAAGCGTTTGGGGGCTAGGGTTGTTGCTCAGTGGCAGAGCGCTTGCCTAGCATGTGTGACACACTGCGTTCAATCCTCAGCACCACATATAAATAAATAAATAAACAAACAAATAAATAAAATAAAGGTTCACTGACAACTAAAAAAAATAGAAGTGCTTGGATCTTGCAGATACAGTTACTGAGTCCTCTACCATGTGCAGGGCACTGTGAGCCATATACAAGTTATAAGACACCATTTCAAGGACACTGGTCTAGTAGGCCACACACTCATATACCTGATAGGGTGATTTCGTTGTGCTGCCAGTGAGGTACATGCAGGAATTTGGGGAATTCTGGGGTGAGGATAGTACTTATGTCTGGAGGATTGCAAAAGGCTTCATTGGTGACTCTTGGGTTAGATCCTGAAGGAGGGTAGGATTTGGAAGAATAGTTTTCTGGTGAAACCAGAGGTTGCTACCTCTGAGCACTGAATCAAGAGAGACTTTGCAGCTTCATTTCAGCTAGATCCAGCCCTCAGCCAGGTGCTGTAAGGAGCATGAGTGCTCCTGTGAGTGAGGGACAGCACCCTCTTGCAGCCTTGGTGTCATGATGCCATTTATTTTTTATTTTCAGATGCAGATGAAACATGCCCTTCATTCACCAGACTGAGCTTTCACAGTGCCGTGGTGGGTACTGGGCTGCAGGTGAGGCTGATGCTCTATACGAAGAGAAACCAGACCTGCGCACAAATCATCAACTCAACAGCTTTTGGGAACTTGAATGTGACCAAGAAAACCACCTTCATTATTCATGGATTCCGGCCAACAGGTTCCGCTCCAGTTTGGATGGGAGACTTAGTAGAGGCTTTGCTCTCTGCAGAACACATGAACGTGGTTGTTGTTGATTGGAATCGAGGAGCTACCACTGTCATATATACCCACGCCGCTAATAAGACCAAAAAAGTAGCCATCATCTTGAAGGAATTTATCGACCAGATGTTGGTAAGAAAGACTTCTCTTGTATGATTTGTGGTTAAATTGAAACTGACTAATTACCTGGAGATTTAAAGCCAAGAGATATCTTCAATGAAAAGGGGGCCAATTTTGTGAAATTCTGAAAATCTAAATAAGGCCCAGGGAGGGTTAGAGAAGGACCCTAAGTAAGGTCCACAGGTATTTTGGTGCAGGTTGTGTACCGCACAGGACACTGATGTAAGGGAGCAGCATTGTCATTGTAGATGTTGTAGATTTACATATTTTTCATGTTTACTATGATAATTTTCCCACATATGACAACAAAGTATCATAGCAAGGGGAAGCTTTCTCTCTCTCTCTCTCTCTCTCTCTCTCTCTCTCTCTCTCTCTCTCATTTGTGACACTGGGCATTGAGTCTAAGGCCTTGTGCATGCTTAAGTGCTCTACCGCTGAGTTACATCCCTAACCTTTTAAAATTTTAATTTAGATTTTTTTTTTTTTAATACCAGGGATGCTCTCCCACTGAGCTATATCCCTAGACTTTTTTTTTTCCCCCTTAATTTTGAGATAGGGTCTCACTAAGTTGCCCAGACTGGTCTCAAAATTTGTGATCTTCCTGCCTCAAGTTCTTGAGCCACTGGTATTATAGGCATATACCATTATGCTCAGCTCTTTTTCTAGTTCATATAAAAGTGTCTTATGGGTCAGAGACAGTCTGTCTAGGAGCTTCCCGGTTTAAACATCTAGAGCTTCAACTTTGGTAGCTGTTCTTTCTGCTAGAAGTGCCAGAGCTTTAGTGACCCAGTTATCCAAAACTGATCTGATGAGATAATTAATGTTTCTAGAAGACTTACAAAGGTCAGAAATTAAATTTATTTAGTGACCCACCTCATGCATTGTTCCTTTTAACAACAGCAACAATGACAAGTGGCATGAAATCAAGAAGATAGGTGACATGAGTATTATCCAAGCCCCCACCTAAACCACCGTCTAGGGAGAAGAATATTTGAATGATTCGGGACAAGCTGTCCCAGTAGCCTATGGGTAGTGTGGTCCACCTCTCCAGGTTTTTCCCTTGTTTCCTTCCCTCTCCATGGTGACTTCATTCTCTGGGCCAGGATGAAGATAAGGGTGTTCATCAAATTGTACTGTCATCCCTTTCCCCAGTCTGCTTAGGGCTGGGGCTGGGGCTCAGTGGCAAAGTGCTTGCCTAGCTCATGTGAGGCACTGGGTTCTATTCTCAGCACCACATAAAAATAAATAAATAAAATAAACAACGTACTGTGTCCATCTACAACTAAAGATGTGTCCACTTAGTTTCTAGCAGAAGCATGAGTGGGAGTCAAATGGTAATCCCAACAACTTGGGAGGCTGAGGCAGGAGGATTGCAAGTTCAAAGTCAGCCTCACCCTGTCTCAAAATAAAAAATAAAAAGGGCTGGGAATGTGGCTCAGAGGTTAAGGGCCCCTGGCTTTAATCCTCAGTACAAACAAAAACAAAAACAGTGTGAGTGGACTCACCATGACACAAAGGTTAAGGTATAAGTTTGGGGTTGGGCTGGTGGGTTTGAATCCTGCTCTACTATGCTTTCAACTTCCCGATCTCTACCACGATTTCAGTGAGCCTCAGATTCTTCGCATAATGAAAAGAATAGTATTTATATTGTGGGGGTCTTGTGACATTTAAATGAGACCATAGATGTAAGACACTTAGAAATATTTCTCCAAAGTCAATAGGTAGGAAATTTCTCCAAATGTAGTCAATTCCTTGACTCTTCAGAATGTGTAACTATGGACTTGTTGGAATTCCAGGCGGAAGGCGCTTCTCTTGACAACATTTATATGATTGGAGTAAGTCTAGGAGCCCACATATCTGGATTTGTTGGAGAAATGTATGATGGGCAGTTGGGGAGAATTACAGGTAAGACTCCTGTGGGTCTGTGGGGTGTAGCTTGGGCCAGGTGGTCACTGGGGGGATATTACACAGGCAGTCCTAGTCCTCGGATTTGAAGCCAGCTCTTCCAATTATCTAACCTCTCTAAGCAAGGACTTCATTCTGCAAAAGATAAACCATAATAATGTTGACCTCAGGTTATTATTTAATCAAATATATGTAAAGCACTTTACAAATTGTATGCCTCAGATAAGATGGGTGGTGACTTAATTTCTCTTATACCTAGGAAAACTGCAATGTCCTGGGGAATTTGATCTATTTGACCTGAAAAGAGTCTTCTTCCTTTATTTAATCTAGAATGTGGAACTATATACCTAGTACATCACGGTCCCCAGAAGTAGTCTCATGGTAGGAAAATGATATCGGAATTTTGATTGCTGAGCCTGACTCTGTAAATATCAGTTTTCCAGCAAACACTGAATGAAAACACTCAGAAATGCAGCAGGTTAAACCCCAAACAAAGACTCCCTTGCTGGGATCTCTTACCTAGAGCTTAGTAACTTTCCACAGCTATTCACAAAGGGCTGAGGGTAAGGGTGGCTCTCTATTTCCAAGACCTTGACCTCTCCCATTCTTTTGAGGTACTGGGGTGCTTTACCACTGAGCTACAGCCCCAACTCTTGCCCTGGGCAAGTCACTTCTATCCCTGTGACTCGGTGTCCATCTCTCTGTCTCTGTCCCTATCTGTTTATCTCCCTCTCTCTTTATCTCTTTTTCTCTTTCTCCCATACATGCACATCTTACATTGACTGGCATCAATTCTGGCTATGTATTTTAGGTCACATTGTTTGTCCTGGTTATTTGTTTAAATTTCGCTTTAATCTGAAGGTTCAGGATTCCTCATCTTGCTTAATCTGCTTTCTTGGGGAAGCAAATTGGTTTTTTAGTTTGAAAATGTATTGTTACTATTTTTGGAAAGCAAGGTGTCTTTAAAATTTTTCCTCCTGTAAAAAGGTCAGATGGCTTGAGTTTGAATTTGTGGGAATTAAAAAGAGAGAGAGAAAAAGAGGCAGAGGAGAGAGGAAGGAAGGAAAGAAAGAAAGAAAGAAAGAGGAAGAGAGGGGAAGAGAATAGAAAAAGAGACAGGCTGATAAGCAGGTCCTGATTTGTAGCAATTGCTGATTTTCTGGGGTCTAAAACTCCCACCACGACTGATCTCAAGCTACCAACATGACATCAATTGAGCAGAGTCTGGGTGCAGATGAACAACATTTGTTCTGCAGCCCACCATGTCTCGTTCTATCTGCAAGTCAGGTGCACCCCTAAGCCTCCCAGCCAATCAGTTCCCACAATTACTTTGAAAGTGAACTACAACAGGTGATGTCTCTAACCATGGAAATTCCCAGGCCAGCCTTCCTTTCACTCTGGGCCCATGTGACCCTGCCCCATAGCCTGGACTCAGCTGATCATCCACAGCTCCCTTTTCAACTTCCATATTCTCTGAATCCCAAGGTTAGTCTCCATCTTCCCCAAGAGCAGCTGAGGCAGAAAGCATTTCCCCTCCCTACTCCCCTTCCTCGGCCTTGCCTGGGTGGGCTCACTGGGTTGCAGGGTGGGAATGGAACCTGTAACCTAAGGACACAATTCACATCTCACTCCCATGGATCAGATGACTCTGTCTATTACTTACCTTGATGGTCTTGATGGCTGCTTGATGCTGTGTTTTCAATTTCTTTCTTTCTTCTGCCCCTCTTTTTGCCTCTCTCCACGAATATCTCTTGGTTTTTCCTCTCATAGCAAGTCAAACACTCTACCACTGAGCTACATCCCCATCCCCTATCTTTAACTTCTCCAAGAGAAGATGATGGATGGTGAATGGGTTGCAAACATTTCAAGTACCTGGATAATTTGTGAATACTTTAAATTTGATTCTCAAACTTGACTGTAAGTTTGCATGAAACTTGCCTTGGGGTGCTGGAGAAAATGCCAATGGGGTGGCCTGAGTTGGAGGTAGGAGTCTGTATTTTTGTTTCATATATATATATATATATATTTGATGGTCCTTTATTGTTATTTATTTATATGTGGTGTTGAGAATTGAACTCAGTGCCTCACACATGCTAGGCAAGCGCTCTACCACTGAGCTACAACCCCAGCCGAGGAATCTGTATTTTTAACCAGAAAATATAGATGGTCTGAGCTCCACACTTGGAGAAACTATAGAGTAACTTCTAGTCCCATATGACCACCAAGTACTTGAAATGTGGTCAGTGCAAACTGAAATCTGTTGTAAGTGTGAAATACACATTATCTTTAGAAGACTGAGAAGAAGAATAACAAAAAACACAGAATATAGAAAATATTAAGTTTTTTACTGGTTACATGGACATGACAATATTTTGCATTAAATAAAATGTGTTTTTGTTTTGGTGGTGCTTTATGTCTGTCTGTTCATACCATGTGCAGGGTTCTTGGGGGTTTTTTTTTGTTTGTTTGTTTTTAAGTGCAGGGGATTGGCCAGGGATTCTTAACCACTGAGCCACATCTCCAGCCCTTTTTATTTTTTGTTTTGAGACAGGGTCTTGCTCAGTTGCTTAGGGCCTCACTAAATTGCTGAAGCTGGCTTTGAACTTGTAACTCTTCTTCCTCAGTCTCCCGAGTTGCTAGGTTTACAGGTGTGAGCCACCATGCCTGGTGAGTGCGCATATTTTTGGTCAATTTTTTGACTGACATTGTCAGCTGATCACTTGCTATGGCATATCACTATGGATATTATAAGTCCAAGTTTTTTGTGACAGTCCTGGTTTGTACCTCTTGTCCTGGTGTGATTATGAACAGTGCCCTCACACTCTCAAAATTGCCCTGTTCTAGATGTTTTCTCTGCCAGTGACCTGGAGGTTGCTGTAAACTGGGGCTCTCATTCTTCATTGTCTTAGACAGGAAGTAGTGCTGTCTGATGTGAGGAGGGAGGAGGAGCTTCCTGGTGGGGGACACATTCTTTCTAAAGCTATGTTGTATTGAAAACAACATATGGACTGGGTGTTTGCCCATCTCCTCCCACACCAGTTTCAGTTGGGAGTGGACTGAAGAGGAAGAAAGGCTGGGAGGGGGAAGATAAGAAAAGAGGGTAGATAAATAAATGGCTCTAGGAAGCAGAAGTGCATTGGGAGAGGAGAAATGGAGAGATTGAAGCTAGAACTAGGAGAGTTAAAGGAAAGAGGCTCAAGTTGGATTTTATATGTAACACGGAGGATGGGAGATGTCATCTAAAATGACATTTGTAGGGACTAGGGGTGTAGCTCAGTAGTAGAGCAGAAACTTAGCGTGTTCAAGGTCCTAGGTTCAAACCTTAGCACCCAAAACAAAAATTTTAAAAAGCGATATTCACAGGTTAAAGCTTCAAGGGAGATGTCCCTTGAGATCTTCACTTTACATAGGGCTCTAATAAGTGCCTTTTTGAGCCTCTGGATTTTTTTTTAAAGTTTTTATTTTGTGGTTACAGTATCATAGGGGCTGCTCCCCTATGTTTCGAGTTATTTCACAGTGATGTGAGAAACGCCCAGCTAATATTGACAAGATGTTAATGTTAACATTAATATTGGCAAGAATTGAGTCCAGGCACTTATGGAGTGGGTGATATCTGCGGTATCTACAGGGACTGGCAACCTCTTTGATACCTGGCTTGGCCAGTGAGCTTTGCCCTTTCCTGTTGAGCTTGCTAAGCTCTGTGTGGTGAAACCAAGAGCTCAACACCCAGAGGAGGTTGCCCCAAGAGGCAGGGCTCGCCTCATGATGCTTGATCTCCCCAAACCTCAGTTCATTCATCTATAAAATAGCTGCCCTGCTTCTCGGGCAGGTTTGCAATGCAAATTAACGAGCTGGGATATGAATACCAGTGAAGCTATAAAGGAGTTTTATTAATAACAAGAAGGAAGGACTGAATGGGGTTTCTGGATCACCAAAAATGAGATAAAATAAGATATAGCATTTAGTTTTTCTCTTTTATGCACCCTGTGGTGCTTTTTTCCTGAGGAGCCAGTGTATCCCCGCCACTGCCCCCTTGTGTGGGGAGCTCTGCCTGGGCTGTGCTTCCTTCTGAAGTCAGGGTACGGTTCACAGGGCTATGGTCAAGGTAACCATCTCTACTGTGGGAAATAGCTGCAGGGCTGTGGAAAGGAGTCCTGACAAAGCAGGATGGGAATGTGAGTGCTCGCCCACCCGAGGGGAGCCTGCAGCCTGTGAACCATCCTCCCCGGGAGGCATCAGAGGCACAGTGCCAGTGACTCATGGAATGAGGCTGCCAAGCCACTCTGTTTTCCTTCCAGGTCTCGATCCTGCAGGCCCTTTATTCAACGGGAGGCCCCCCCAGGACAGATTAGATCCCAGCGATGCGCAGTTCGTTGATGTCATCCACTCCGACACTGATGGTAACATTCCTGTCTTGGTGGGTTAGTCGCCCCCCAGACCCACAGAATCCCCCTGGGGCAGATTGTCATGCAGGGGCAGAGCGGGTTTCTCCAGCTGCCTTTTTCCTACCAGGCAGGTTCCAAATCTGCGGAAACATTGAAAGGAAGAGGTAGCTGGTGTAGCCAGACCCCTGGATCCATGCTGCAGTGGGGATGATTTTCCCATGGTCTTTTTTTCCCCTTTTTTTTTGGGGGGGGGTACCAGGGATTGAACCACTGAGCCACACCCCCATCCCTATTTTGTATTTTATATAGAGAAAGGCTCTCACTGAATAGCTTAGGGCCTTGCTGGCTTTGAACTTGCAATCTTCCTGCCTTAGCCTCCCCAGCTGCTGGGATTACAGGCATGAGCCACTGTGCCTGGCCTTCCCAGGGTCTTTTATCTTAAATATACCATTGTGCCCAATCACAGTCAGGCCAGTTTGCATCCCACGTGGACAGTGTTTCCATATATGCAACTGGGTTTGGATGCATAATTTCCTGGGTGTGTTGGTTACTTCTCATTATTTCCTTAAGCTGAAAGGCGAGTTCAGGTGTGTGTCTCTCCACACAGAGCAATCCTCCCACCAACAGCTCTCAGCTGTCTGAATCTTTCAGGCCATTTCTGTCTTTCAAGATGCTGATTTTGCATCATGGATTGTTGGCATATGCCATGGAGGCTGGGGTGATGTTCAAGGATGGGTGTCTACTACACACAGATGTCTGGGAGAGGAAGTGGAGTACATGTTTGAGAAGGACAGAGAGAAGTGGTCATTTAAACATTATCTTCTTTATAATGCCATCACCTTGACCCGGGGCTGGGGATGCAGCTCAGTGGTAGTGCAGCTTGCACTAGGATGCACAAGGTCCTGAATTTGATCCCCAGCACCACAAAACAAACCAACCCCTGACCCTCTCTCCTGGGCATTTAGTGTGGTATTCAACAGTTGTTTGACTTAAAAGAAACCTCTTGGTAAAGCAGTTGCATTGTTATTGTGGAGTTTGTAAGGTATTACTTAAGTGCAGTACTGCAGTGCCATTTGGATGCCCAATGGAATAAGGCAATTCACTTTTTATTCTTGGAACATGGAGTCTGAAGGAAAGAGTATAAGTTTTGCAGTCCTGACAGATGTGGCCTCAGATCCCAGGATTCCGTTCTTTCTAGTGATGTCATGTTAATTTCTTAAGTCTTCTGAGCCTCTATCGTTATTTCATATGAATTTGCCAGTGGCCACTGTGCAGACATGTGAACATTGAAAGGAAGTTCTTTAAAACATCTGCTGTCATACCCACAGAGACATGTAGGTTCTCACTCTATAATAACTGTGATTAATACCATGATGCACTGTGTATATCTGTGCATATCACATGTGTATATATAGATCTAAAATCTTATATTCATTTATTTGAGACAGGGATTTTTTCACTGTCTTGCCCAGGCGGATCTTGAACTCCTGATTTTAGCATTTCTCCTGCCTCAGGTTCTGGGACGACAGGTGTGAGCCACCACGTTCAGATTATCAATAATCTTCAATAGGTTTTGTTTTTGGTTTTGGTTTTTGGTATTGGTGCTGGGAATAGAACCCAGGGCCTCCCTCATACTAGCCAAGCACTCTAACCCCAGACCCCAGTAATATCTTAATCAAGCATTTAACTGATTATTTTAGGGCTACATGATTAAAGAAAATAAGCAGTTATTAAATCTGCAATTTTTCAGGACCTCATTATCTAATATTGTTTTTAAACTTTCTACTGTCCTGGATCCTAAATTTCAAAAAATTTTGCCTACTAAGTAAAAATTATTTTTTTCTATTTCTTATTCATTAAAGATTTGTACAGTGCAAATTCAAGGCTCAGGAAGCTCATGACAATTGGAGGGTCCCAGCCAAATGTAAGGAAAAAAATATATGATTTTGTCAGCCTTGCTGTGAATGAGTAACCAAAATCCCTATGTTTTTAGAAATAGTGGAATTAAATTCCATTACCATTTGCTCAATCACTTAATAATGGAATGGATGATAGTGGAATTTACTTCCTGCTTTCCAACTAACTAACTGGGTTGGTAACTTTGGGAAAAACATTTAAATAAGTATACCAATAATTATATAACAACAACAATAATGATCCAAATCCTGCCTATGTCTGGCAGGCAAATGAGCTATGAGAGGTGAATGAGTTAAAGCAGTGTGAAAGCATAGTGTGTTCTCTTTTAGCACTGGGCTACAAGGAACCGCTAGGAAACATAGACTTCTATCCAAATGGAGGATTGGATCAACCTGGTTGCCCCCAAACGATATTTGGAGGTAAGTGCAGGTACTTTATATTCTGTAAAATAGTGGATTGAAAAGTACAATTTAAAAAATCTGATATTATCTTCATGGAGTAGTTTTGAATAGAAAACTTTTTTTTTCTGAGAAGATAGCAGTGGTTTAAATATAAATTATAAATTGCAAACTTAGCTCCTCAAAACAAAAAAATAGGGAGTTGAAGGGCAACATTAAAAGTGAGGTGGGGGATCAATGTTTATAGCAGCTCAATTCACCATAGTTAAGCTATAGAACCAACCTAGGTGCCCTTCAACAGATGAATGGATACAGAAAATGTGGTTTATATACACAATGGAATATTTACCATAAAAAAGAATGACTTTATGACATTTGCCAAAAAATGGATGAATCTTGAGACTATTATGCTAATCGAAATAAGCCAATCCCAAACAACCAAAGGTCAAATGTACTCTCTGATATGTGGTTGCTAACACACAACAAGGTGGGAGGAGGGGAAGAATAGAAGTTCAGCAGATTAGACAAAGGGGAATGAAGGGAAGGGAGATGGGGACAGAAATAGGAAAGACAGTGGAATGAATCTGATATCACTTTCTTATGTACATATGTAAATATACCACAGTGAATCTCTGCATCATATACAACCACAAGACTGGAATCCTAATTAGAATAGGATAGACTATAATAGATAGACTCTGTATTTGTATAGATATGTCAAAATATACTCTACTGGGCTGGGGTCGTAGCTCAGTGGTAGAGCACTTGCCTAGCATGTGTGAGTCACTGGGTTCGATCCTTAGCACCACATAAAAAATAAATAAATGAAAGTAAAGGTATTGTGTAAAAAATAAATTCTACTGTCAAGTATAACGAAAAAGAACAAAGAAAAAATAAGTGAGGGTCTGGGGTTGTAGCTCAGTGGTGGAGCACTTGCCTAGCATGTGTGAGGTACTGGGTTTGATCCTCAGCACCACATAAAAATAAGTAAACAAACAAATAAATGGTATTGTGTCCATCTACAACTTAAAAAAGAAAGTGAGGTGGAGGATAGATTTTAAAGTCCAACCCCTAGTGCTCTAAGTATATATTTCATCACTGCTAGAGAAAGTCAAACAACTATGGAAATGATTCTAGAAAAAGGATGGTCTTGGCATGAAAAGGTAGTTGTCTATGGCCCCAGCTGATTGACATAGTGTTTGAAAGTGATCGGGCTGAAATGGCACAAGCAGGGATACCCATGTTGTACCATAGTGAGGTTCAAATTGCATCCTGTGAGATAGTGTAACCATATCCACAAACAGCCAAAGAAAATGTGCTTTGCTGGTAAAGGACATCCCCCATATTGTTATCAACTCCACTGTTTCTCCGTGACTTTTTTCTCTTTCGGTTCAGGGGACTGAACCCACTCTACCACTGAGCTACATCCCCAGCCCAACTCCCTTGTTTCTGCAAAAGGAAGTTCCAGGAACAAAACAATAAGTGTTGGCTTGTCAGGTTTGACTCCAGTCCAGCTTGGCCTGTGCCAGCCCCATGCTTCGTCCTTCTTACCCCAGTTGATGTCTCTGTTCCTCACTGATCTGTTGTATGGGCACAAGTGAACCCTGGAGGAATAGAAAACGCTGTGATCTGATGCAGCAACCACTGCCTCTCCAAACCACTCGCAACCACAGCTCCTCTTTTCGTGGGGTTACTGTTTCCTCTTCAAATCCTTACCCACACTGATTGCCCTTTTGTGGAATTAAGCCTCTGTTTTGAGTGACATCAGTAATTCATTATCTCTAGTTCTTTTGACACCCATCTCTGTGTCTCCTCAACCTCCTGTCTCACCATTGTACCACCTGGCACCCGCTGGCACCCTCTGGGAGCTAACTTGAGTCCTGCCTGTAACCTCTTCTTGTCCGTTCATGACTTCTAGTGCCCACTCCTATCATTTAGCCCCTCCCACTTCACTCTTGCATTGGCAACAGATCCCTGCCACTTGGCTACTATGGGGAATGCCCTGTGCACCCCCAGACCTCTTAGAGGTGAGCTAGATTGGACTTTCATCCCACCTGAGAGAGCCATTTTATCTATCTTCATCTGAGTTTACACGGCCAGTGTTCACCCTCATGTTCCCTCCTGACCCAGGGTAGAGGGATCCCACTCCCTTTCCAACATGCTCTCCTCTGCTGACCCTCCTTGGGAGCTTCCCCTATCACTTACTCCCTAATGTCTTCTTTTCCTAGTGTCTGTACTTGTTCTTTTTCAGTGGCTCCTATCCTCAGCCTTTGGCTTATTGTCTTTGTTGTAAATCTGTAGGGAATCTCTGACCACTATTGAAATTTTTCTCCTCCTTTTCAGTGATCAAACCATGCAACGAGGGTCTTCATTTCTGTTTCCATCTCCTCAGTGTCCTATGCTAACCCACACCTCCCCACTTTCTACCCACACTGCTTTGCTGGAGGTGACTTCTTTAAGTTCAATGCAGCCTCCCAATCACCAGATAACCCAGGGTCCTTTTCCCAGCTTCAGCTTTCCATAAGTTCTCCAGCTTCCGGTTCCACTAAGCCTGCACTAAAACTCTCCCCTTCTTGCTTCTGTGTCATCGGGTGATGTCGTCTGGCTGTTCTTTCCGTGGTCGCTCTTTTGAGGGCTCTCTGAAAGTACCTCCCCTCAGGCTGGGTCATCTGATTTTCATTTCACTTTCCCTTTTTTTCCTTAAATATTTTACCTATATTTCCAAGTTCAGAATTCACTATGAAAGTAGAAGGGGTAGATTCTGATCTAATTGACTTCTATCCACCCTGGACTCTGCTCCACCCAACAGCCCAGACCTGTTTAGGAAGACTTCACTCTTAAGTGATCCACTTCCATGAAGCTGCTGCCCTTTGGTGCCCACTTATAGTTGAGGTCAATTTCAGGGAGGAGATGCTCGTGGGAGGATTTACAGCCCAGGCTCATCCTTTTTCTTATGTGATCTTCCTCCTCAGAGGGGTGTGTGTTTGAAGTGTGTGACATGCATGTAGGTAATTGAACCCAGGCCCTCCTGCATGCTAGTCAAGTGCTCTGCTACTGAGCTACACCCCCAGCCCTCCTCAGATAACTCTTGATTCCCTTCTGTCCTTTTATATCAGCTGATCCTATTCCTTGGCCCTCTGTTATGGTTGTGAGCATTGCAGGCTCACCATGCAGAGTGATTTCTCACAACACCCCTGCCGTTGGGTTTTTGATAAGATAGAAGGTAAATTCATCCTGTGGTCCAGCTAATGTGTCATCAAGAACTACAGAGTCTTAGTAAACCTCAGGCTCAGTCCTTGATTAAGATGTAAGACTGTGTGCCATCCCCCACCCTCGTCTCCTCTGCCCTGCCGCGTAGACTCCCAGCCTCTTCTATTCTGCAGCACAGCAGTGGTTCTCAAACTTCAGCATATATCAGAATCATGTAGAAAGCTTGTTAAAACAGAGATCACATTGGCACGTGCAAGGCCTTGTGTTCAGTCCCAGCAACAAACCAAATCAAACCAAACCAAACCACAGACTGCAGACAGCTGCAAGCCTCTCAGGGGAAAGTACTAATAATGTCCATTTCTAATAAATTCCCAGGTGATGCTTACACAGCTGGTCTGAGACGGTATTTTGAGAACTTTAGTAGTAGTGCAACAGATAGATCTGAGAGCCCCATAGACCACAGGTGGCAGAATTCCAACTCTGCCTTTTTTAGTAGGTTCTCTGTGCCTCAGCTTTCCTATCTATAAAATGACACTAATATTGCCTCCCTTACAAGATTGTGAGAGCTAGCAACATATTATATAAAGAACCTAGGCTATTATTACCCACCATAGTATTTCTGATTTTGTTTTATTACAGTGATTATAAAAATTTATAGGTTCCCGGCTTTAAAATATTTGAAACAAAGTTGGGATACTTTACTTACCTGTCTGGTCTTTGTCCACTGCCAGGACCTGTTGCTTTTTTTAAAAAAAATATATTTATTTATTTTAACATAAAGAAATTTTCAAGGAATACACACATGTGCAATTTTTAAATGATTTTTTTAATACAATACCTTTATTTATTTATTTATTTATTTATATGTGGTGCTGAGAATCAACCCAGTACCTTCCATGTGCCAGGCAAGTGCTCTGCCACTGAACCACAACCCCAGCCTGGCCTGGTTGCTTTTGACATAATGAAAAATGTGGCAGTAATCAAAACTACTCTCTTGCTTTTGACTTTGCAGTCATTGAGATTATTAGGACTTACCTGGAGCAGATGAGGGAACCCATAACAACCAGACTTTTAGTTAAAGCCTTGAGCAGAAATGAGGCAGAAGGCTGGATGGGGTTGTCTGCATCTGTAGTCCCAGCTACTCAGAAGGGCTGGGTGTGTAGCTCAGTGGTAGAGCTCTTGTCTAGCATGCGTGAGGCTGTGGATATCCCCAACACTGAAAGAAAAAAAAAATAGACAGAGGGGTTTCAGTGTGTAGCAGAACCTGCTGGAGATTGCACTTCCAAATAATTGGTATTAATTTTCCATGTGCCTGGCACTGTTCTAAGATTTAAAGCTACAATAGTAAATGAAATATGCAAGAATGCTTATTTTGGGAGAAGCAGAGTCAAGTTATTCAAGATAAAAGACTGTATGTGATGAGATCTAATGGTTGTATTTAACAGTGACATTATTTTTTGTTTTTGTTTTTGTTTGTTTTCTGTGTGCTGGGGAGGAGACTCAGGGCCTCACAAATGGTAGGCACCTGTTCTAGCTACTCCAAGCTATACCCCTGGCTCTACAGTATTTAATTAAAGTATATTTGCTTTAACTCCTGTCACAACCTTAATTTAATGTCATCTTTTCTTCTGCCACCTGCCAGCATGAATCCTTACGTATGGCTTTTTGTAAGGACTGAATGGGATCAAGTACATTGGAACTTTCAGAGCCATGCAGGAGATGAGAAATTGTGTGTGTAAAACATGTGATGTTCTTCTTTTAAATGCTTCTACTGCTCTATCCTTGAATCACTCCCTTTCCAACTAAGGAATAAAGTATTTCAAGTGTGACCACCAGAGGTCCGTGTACCTGTACCTGGCTTCCCTGAGAGAGGACTGTGAGATCACCGCCTATCCCTGTGACTCCTACAGGGACTACAGGAACGGCAAGTGCACCAGCTGCGGCACACCAGAGCAGTCCTGTCCCGTCCTGGGTAGGTCCAAAGCGGTTTCCCCCTCTGCTTTGGTACAAATTTTTGGTACAAATCCCAGAACCATTTTGCTATCTAAAAATGGCTCCAAAATTGTTTTCTAACAACAACAACAACAATTTAAAAAACCCATAAAACAGTCTAGGCAGCTTTTTTGAGCCAACTTTCTAGTCTCCTAATTACAAAAATTGGTAGAAGAGCAATCTGTGTAGGATTCCACCCAGCAGGTAGCACAGCCTACTCAGAGCACAGCCACATTACACAGCCTGTTCCTGCGAGGGCTGGAACAACCTCTCTACTGGGCAAGGGTCCACAGTGAGACAGACCTTCTGCCAGATGACATAGCTGAGTGGTCCCTTCTAACTAGTGTCCATAAATGCCTTTACTGACAGCTGGGCATGGTGGCTCACATCTGCAATCCCAACTACTTGGGAGACTGAAGCAAGGAGATTAAAAGTTCAAGACCAGACTAGGCAACTTAGTGAAAGCCTGCCTCAAAATAAAATGTCAAACAAGCTGGAGATGTATGTAGCTTAGTGGTAGAGTGCCCTAGTTCAATTCCACTACGGGGTTTGGGGTGGGGGATGCCCTCACTCCATCCTCTGGCTCTTATGGGTATACAGGGCTGGGGTGGGGTCAAAGATGCCATGGGTACTGCTTGGATATTTACTAGGGGTTGGTGGAAATATCCTAAGTGGTTAAAACTATGAAAGTGGAAAGCCATGAGGATTTTCTGATTTTTCCTAAAAGGAAATCCAAGTTAACAGCAGGACATACTATACATAGGGGTTCTCAAACCCTGATTGTACATTAGAGTCACTGAGAGAGGGTGATTTTTTTTTTTTTTTAATAGCAGTGTCTGTGTCCTCTGCCCTATCAGTTAAGTCAGAGTCTGGAGGCCATTTTCTGGCAGTGAGGACAGAGGAGAGAAACAAGTCGTAGAACAGCACCCAACCTTGCCTCCTGCAGGCATAGATATAAAGGGAGACATTCACCTGCTTGGTGATATAGTTATCTGGCAAGCCCACATTCTGTACAACATTCTGTAATAATAAAACGTTCTTCAAGAAAGCCCAGGGTCTGGGGGCGCAGCTCAGTAGTAGAGCATGTGCTTAGCATGCATGAAGCCCTGGGTTCTATTTCAAGAACTGCCAACCCCCCAAAAATGGAAAATAAAAAAGCACCTTGCCTTGCAATAATGATGCTATTTTAGGTCTAAACCTAAATCTGTTTTAATGTAGAAAATGAATGTATTACTGTAAAACATCTGTCCTATTTTTAGTTCAAAACAGTGTGCTGCTCCCCATCTCCCTACCAGGTTAACTGAGAACCAGTAAAGGGGTCAAAGCCATTATAGGGTCCTTCTGAACCCCAGCTCTTAGGGATGGAGACAACCGGCAAGAATGGTGGTCCCTGGGGTGACACTGTCCTGGACCCTGCAATGCTCACATGGCACTGGCAGGTTGTCTCTGTGGTGGCTGCAGGTGTCTCAGCGTGCTCACCCCTTTGTTGCTTTCATGTTTATGTAACCCATGTTCACGTTACGTTTTTCCAACTTGTTTTATAGGCTATTATGCTGACAATTGGAAAGACTACTTAAAGCAGAAAGATCCTCCGATGACTAAGGCGTTCTTTGACACAGCTGAGAAGGAGCCATTCTGCAGTGAGTGGTGTTTGACTGACCCTTTTATTGTGGGGATGGTTGAGTCTCAGCTTCCTGGCTGCTTCTTGGCAAATGAAGGGCGTGGTAAAGCTTGGAGTTTGGAGCTGGAAGGGCCTAGGTAGAATCCTGATTCTATCACATAATAGCTGTGAGACCTTGGTCAAGTCTTCTAACCTCTGTGGGTCTCAGGGTCCTGGTTGGCTAAGTGGAGATAATAATGCCTATCCTCTGGGCTATTAGGATTAAAACATCAATAAATCAGTGTTGCTAGCATCACCAGTGGCCATAGTAACCACTAAGATATTCCAGGAAATCACTTGATTCCTCAAGAGACATGATGGACATTGGGGCTAGGAAAATTAAGGTGGCAGGCACATCTTACGGGTCAGTCCTAGCTCTACAGCAACCATGACAAATTCAAGACATCAAGAGGTTGAGTATTCCAGATGGAAGGACAGCAGTTGATTAAATGCTCTATATGCCGTCAGGATTTGCCTGGGAAGATGTATGCCTTTCTTGCAATCTTTTTTCTTTTATTGTTGTTGTTGTTTGGTATTGTTGTTGTTGAGCACCAGGGGTGCTCAACCACTGAGCTGAGCCACATCCCCAGATCCTCTTTTTTAAAAATTTGGGACAGGGTCTAAGTTCTAAGGACCTTGCTAAATTGCTGAAGCTGGCTTTAAACTTGTGATCCTCCTGCCTCAGCCTCCAGCCACCAGTAACCCACTCATGTGCCCCCATGCCAGGCCTTCCTTGCAATCTTTTACTCCTTATCACTTTTCTTGGGAGCAACTGTCCTAAAAAACAGCAGATCCCTGGGTTTCCCTCTTTCTTTGGAGCCATACATGGCAGCCCAGGGTTGGGCATCTGCCTCGTCTCTATGGGGCAATCCCCTGAGCAATAAGGGCCATGAAAAGACATTCCAGAGCTGGCCTTATCTTCACGGAACCATCATCTTCCTGAGTCTCTTTCACTTTCCTTGCAAGTCTGACCAAGAGAGAGCAAATCTGCCTGTCACGTAGAGATCCTTATCTGCCCCAAATCACTTGACCTTTAAGAGCAAATAGTAAGGAAGAAAAAATAGTTCTCTGAATGCATTGTGTATCATTTATTCAAGAGGAATTATTGGGTGCCTGTAAGATTTACTGCAGGGATTATAAAAAGTAATAACGATTCATTGTTGTAGTATATTTTAATTCTACGTTGTTTTTTGATTTTTTTTTTGTTATTGATGGACTTTATTTTTATTCATTTATTTACATGCAGTACTGAGAAGAGAACCCAGTGCCTCACACATGTGAGGCAAGTGCTCTACCACTGAGCCACAACCCCAGCCCTCTGATCTTGTTTTTTAACCCATTTTTCAGGCAATATGTACATAGATGTTCTCATCTTTACCACTTTTTTTCACTTTGTATTTACAGTGGAGCATGATGGGTTATGATGGAGAAAGTCCAGAGCATAACAGGGACTCAAAGAAAGGAGAACTGACTTAGTCCAAGGGCCAGGGAGGGGCTCCTAGAGGAAATGACATTAAGCTGAAACCCAAAGGACAACTTTGCAAAATGGGCCATTAAGGATGTCCAGGCACAGGGAAGGCCCAAGAGCAAGAGAGAGCTTGGTAGTGCAGGAGGTGTGGGTGGCATGGCAGAGGTAGGAAGGAGACTTCAAGGTGCACCAGGTAGGTAGTAGCCATGACTGAAATTATGGAAGACCTTGTTGGCCATGGAGTATCTCCAAGTGGCAACTTGATCATTTTAGCATAAGATGGGCTGGATGGAAGTGAACCAATCACATGTAGCCATAGGCCAGGAGACCTTAATCCATTTGGTGTGAACCTGGGATGCCTGAACATGGTGACTGGGTCCCAGTGAACTCTGATGTCACTCATGCCATTTTTGCCAAAGGAAAAAAAAAAAACAATAGAAAATATTGCCCCAGATCTTTTCAGAGAAACTTCAGAGGAAGAGAAAAGGAAACTCAATTGTTAGGGATGTTGGGCTTCCAGGAATCGGCCCTCCAGTGGAGCATTTGGGGCTACCTCTCTCTTATTATGTTCTCTCCCTGTTCTGCAGTGTATCATTACTTTGTGGACATTATATCTTGGAACAAGAACATCAGAAGAGGGTCTATTACAATCAAATTAAGAGACAGAGATGGAAACACCACAGAATCTAAAATCGATCAGTAAGTTGAGCTGCAATAGTTTGCCATTTGCTATTTTCCTCTTGGCTTGAGAAATTAAATCCCAGATATACCTATTTTCTTATTTATAGGTTTGTGCTTTCCCTTGTCCTACAAAAAATATAAGGGGACATGTTGTTTACTTGCTTTCCCCGCTCTTGATCTCTCAGGCTCTCTACAAATGTATTGGCACAAGTGATTTCTTTTCTTCCTTCCTTTATTCCTCCTTCCCTCCTTTACCTTCTTCCTTTCCTGCCACAATCCCTTTTTCTCTTCTAACTCTTCCTCTGGTTGAACATTTAATTACAAAAGTTTTTCTTGCTTACCATAAAGGTTCAAACAACTATGATGATTTAATCATTCCACATTTTATATACATATATCAAAACCTTACATTGTACCCCATATATATATATATACAATTATGATTTTTTTCAATAAATAATCATTTTAAAACTATAAATGACCAGGCATGGTGGTGCACACCTATAATCCAAGTGACTCTGGAGGCTGAGGCAGGAGGCCGACAAGTTTGAGGCAAGCCTCAGCAACTTAGCAAGGCCCTCAGCAACTTATTGAAACCCTGTCTCAAAAACTGAAGAGGGCTGGGGATGTATGTTTTAGTCAGTTTTGTATTGCTGTGACCAAAAGACCTAAAAGAGAACAACTTAGAGAAGGAAAAGTTTATTTTGGCTCATGATTTCAGAGGTTCAGTCCACCGTCAGCCAGGGTCATAGTTTTGGGCCCAAGATGAGGCAGAAATTCATGTTGGAAGGGCATGGTGGAGGAAAGCGGCTCAGGAAGCAGCAGCCAGGAAACAGGAGAGTTCTGCTCACCAGAGAAAAAATATAACCTCAGAAGCCACACCCCCAGTGTCCTACTTCTTCCAGCCACACTCTGTATGGCTACAGTTATCACCTAGTTAATCCATAGGTTATGACTCTCATGATCTAATCACTTCACCTGTGAATATTCTTGCATTGTCTCATACATGAGCTTTTGGGGGATACCTCATTTCTAAACCATAACAATATAGCTCAGTGATAAATCACAGCTGGGTAATTCACAGTACTAAAAAACAAAAACACACAAATAAAAAACATAAAGGGATATGCCACATAAAAGTACAAGTTCTCACCCACTCCCCCCAATAGGCCCACCTCCAAAGTCCAAAGGCACCCACCACATACATATGCCTATCCTTTTATGAGCTATACAAGTAGAAATGTATAGGACATAAATATAACATGTACATATATATTTCTGAAACTCAAAATATAATTTGCAGTAAAAAAATTAAAGACACCCTTAAAATTCAGCAATGGGGAAATGATTAAATATTCTCATGTAATAGAATATTATTCATATATTGAAGTTTTATGATATATATTACATGAAAGCTTATGATATGCCAAGTAAAAAACGTAGAATTATATAAAGATTTAAATTAGCTCCATCATGTAAAAGTAATAAAAAAGAAACTTGCTAAAATATTATATTGCTATTTAGGTGGTGAGACTCTATAGCTGCTTTTTTTTTTTTTTAACAAGTTCTCTTTAGTATTCAGTTTTCTATGATGGTGTGTATAATTTTTTAAAGTTTTAAAATAATTAGCACTTTTAAAAAATCTATTACTTCTATAACCATGTTCTAACTCTATGTTTAGTATTTTGAAGAACTGTCAGACTGTGTTCCAAAACAGTTGTCCTATTTCACATCTCCACCAGCAATGTATAAGGATCCAACTTCTTCACACACTTGCCAGCACTTATTTTTGTCTAAATTTTTTTTATTGTGGTAAAGATGCATAACACAAATAACATAAACTTTACCATCTTTTTTGTTTTGGTTTGGTTTTGGTACTAGGGATTGAACTCAGGGACACTTTACCACTGAGCCACATCCTCAGCCTGTTGTTTGTTTTTGTTTTTTTAGGACATGTGTACTTTTTTGTCTTTTTTATTGGCACACAGTTGTACATAATGGTGGGATTTGTTGTTACATATTAGTATACGCACACAATATAGCAATATAATTTGGCAAATATCCTCCACAGAGATTTCCTCCTTATTTCCCCTCCTCTCACTCCTTAGTCCCTTTCCTCTACTAATCTCCTTTTATTTTCATGAGATCACCTCTCATCTTTCTTTTCCTTTTTCTTCTCTGGCTTTATATGAGAGAAAACATATGACCCTTGACCTTCTGTCTTTGGCTGATTTCACTTAACATAATGGTTTCAAGTTCCATCCATTTTCCTGAAACTACATTATTTCAATTTTCTTTATGACGGCATAAAATTCCATTGTGTATATATATCACATTTTCTTTATCCATTCATCTGTTGATGGGCATCTAGGCTGGTTCCACAGTTTGTCTATTGTGAATTGTGCTGCTATAAACATAGGTCTGCATGTATCACTATAGTATGCTGACTTTAATTCTTCAAGATATATACCAAGGAGTGGTATAGCTGGGTCATCTGGTGGTTCCATGTCTAGTCTTTTGAGGAATCTCCACACTGATTTCCCTAGTGGTTGTATTACTTTATAATACCAACAACAGTGTAAAGTGTTCTATTTTCTCCACATCCTCTCCAGCATTTATTATTGTTTGTATTCTTGATGACTACCATTCTGACTGGTATGAGATGAAATCTCAGTGTAGTTTTTATTGGGGGGTGGTACTGGGGATTGCACTCAGGGACACTCAACCACTAAGCCACATCCCCAGCCCTATTTTCTATTTTATTTAGAGACAGGTTCTCACTAATTTGCTTTGAACCTTGCTGTTGCTGAGGCTGGCTTCAAACTCGAGATCCTCTGTCTCAGCCTCCCTAGCCGCTGGGATTACAAGCGTCTGCCACTGAGCAGGGCCTCAGTGAATTTTGATTTGCATTTCCCTAACTGCTAATGATGTTGAACATTTTTTTCATATACTTGTAGGCCATTTATATTTCTTTTGTGAAGTGTCTATTTCATTCATTTTTCCATTTATTAATTTGGTTTTTTGGTGTTACATTTTTTTGAGTTCTTTATATATTTTAGATATTAATCCTCTGTCAGAAGTGTAGCTAGCAAAGATCTTTCTCCCACTCTGTAGGTTCACTCTTCACATTCTTGTTTTTTCTTTCCTGTGAAAAAGCTTTTTAATCTGATTCCATCCTATTTATTAACTCTTGTCATTATTCCCTAAGCTTTAGGGGTGCTATTGAGAAAGTCATTCATTGTCCATGCCTACACATTGGAGTGTTAACTATATATTTTCTTCTAGGAGTTGCCTAGTTTCTGGTATAATTCCTAGGTCTTTGATTCATTTTGAGTTGGCTTTTTGTGTAGGGTGATAGATAAGGGTCTAGTTTCATTTTTCTACATATGGATAACCAGTTTTCCCAGCACCACTTATTAAAGAGGCTGTCTTTTCTCCAATGTATGTTTTTGGCACCTTTTTCAAGGATCAGATGACTGTAGATGTGTGGGGTTGTCTCTGTGTCTTCTATTCTGTACCATAGGTCTATGTGTCTCTTTCTATGCCAGTACAATACAGTTTTTGTTACTATAGCTCTGTAGTGTAATTTAAAGTCAGATATTGTGATACTTCCAGCATTGCATTTTTCCTAGACTTGCTTTGACTGTTCTGGGTCTTTTATTGTTCCAAATGAATTTTAAGACTGTATTTTCTAGTTCTGTGAACAATATTATTGGTGTTTTGATGGGGATTGCATTGAATCTGTGTATTGCTTCTAGTATTGGTAGCATGGCCATTTAACAGTATTAATTCTGCCTATCCATGAGCGTGGGAGGTCTTTCCTTCTTCTAAGATCTTTTTCAATTTCTTTCTTCAGTGTTCTATAGTTTTCATTGTAGAGGTCTTTCACCTCATTGGTTAGATTTATTCCTTTTTTTTTTTAAGCTATTGTGAATGGGATTCCCCCCCTCCCCGATTTCTTTCTCAGCAGATTCATTGTTGATATATAATAAAGCTATTGATTTTTTAAAAAAAATATTTTTAGTTGTAGGTGGACACAATGCTTTTATTTATCTATGTGGTGCTGAGTGTTGGAAGCCATGTATGAATTATAGGTTCATTTGAGCCATTACAAGACGGCAGGGGGGTGGGTGGGGAGTGGGGATGTGGCGGGTGTGGGGTGGGCTGTGTGTGTGGAGGTTGCTTTTCTGAGAACTCCTGGTGTGAATCTACCTGTTGCCAATTGTTCAGATTACAGCTGACACGGTACCTTACGTATGTTCAAATGCAGCCCCCCAGTGGGGGGGGGGGGGTGTGAGTGTAACCTCCCTGGCTCCAAACAAGTTGCTTTTCACATCTTTATCCTGTTTTCCTCAAGAAGCTTGCCACAGTGAAACCTTTTGATGTATTTCCCTTAAATAAAAAATTTGGACCTTTTTCTTTGTTCAGTTCCTGTTCCTATCAGGGCTGGAAGACCCACCAGGCACCCAGCTTTTAAAAAACTATTTTCTGTCTATTATCTTCTGTTCCTTATTATTTTCAGACTTTTTATTTTCCCTCAAAGCAGAAATCTGCTCTGTCAGGGTGCTGGTAACCCCAGCAGAACCCAGTGCCTCACATGTGCTAGGCAAGTGCTCTATCACTGATCTACGTCCCAGCCATTTATTTATTTACTTATTTGGTACCAGAGGTTGAACTCAGGCACACTTGGCCACTGAGCCACATCCCAGCCCTATTTTGTATTTTACTTAGACAGGGCCTCACTGAGTTGCTTAGTGCCTTGCTGTTGCTGAGGCTGGCTTTGAACTTGGGATCTTCCTGTCTCAGCTTCCCGAATGCTAGAATTACAGGCATGTGCCACTGTGCCCAGCTCAGCTATTGATTTTTGCATGTTGATTTTGTAACCTGTTACTTTGCTGAATTGTTTATTAGCTCTAGCAGTCTTTTGGTGGAGTGTTTTGGATCTTCTAGGTATAGAATGGTATCATTTGCAAACAGGGATACTTTTACTTCTTCATTTTCTATTTTTATTACTTTTATTTTTTTCTCTTGCCTAATTGCTCTGGCTAGAATTTTTAGTACTATATTAATATAAGTGGAAAGAGTGGACATCTTGTCTTGTTCCAGATTTTAAAGGAAACACTTTCATTTTTCCCCCCATTTACTATGAAATTGACGTGTGTGTGTGTGTGTGTGTGTGTGTGTGTGTGTCATTTATGGTGTTGAGGTAGGTTCCTACTATTTCTAGTTTTTTCAATGTTTTTATCATGAATGGGTGTTGAATTTTCTCAAAAGCTTTCTCTGCATCTATTTAGATGATCAAGTGATTTTTGTTCATAGTTCTATTTATGTGATGAATTACATTTATTGATTTGCATATATTAAACCATCTTTGCATCTCTATCCCCAGCCCTTTTTATGCTTTGTTTTGAGACAATCTTACTAAGTTGCTGAGGTTGGCATTGAACTTATGATCCTCCTGTCTTGGCCTCCCAAGTAGCTGGGATTATAGGTGTGTGCCATTGTACCTGGCCAAGTTTATCATTTTAATCAATTTTTGGTGTACCGTTCAGTAGTTAGTGTATTCATGTTGTCATGAGACAGATCTCTAGATTTTTTTTCATTTTGCAAAGCAATAATTCTGTACTCATTAAACAACTCCCCTTTCCTTACTCTTCCCAGCCCCTAGTAAACACTATTTCTCTTTCTATGAATTGGACAATAGTAGATAGCTCACATAAGAGGAATCAATACAGTATTTGTCTTTTTGTGACTGGCTTATTTCACTTAGTATAGTATCCTCAAGATTCATTGATATTGTAGCATGTGACAGAATTTCCTTCATTTTTAAGGCTGCATATTATTCCATTATATGTATCGACCATGTTTTGTTTACCCCCATTCAATTATTGATGGATGCTGGTGCCTGCTTTGAATTATTTTGGATGTTCAAAGTGGAATGTCTGGCCCATGTGATAATTCTATTTTTGACATGCTGTCATCCAATTTCCCATGACTGTTGCATCATTTTCTGGTCCCCACCGGTACTGCACCAGGGTTCCAATTTCTCCACATCCTCACCAACACCTGTCGTCCTAATGGGTGTGAAGTGATTCTATACCTATGGAACGTTTTCATCATTCCCTGAAGCACTTCCTTCCTTTTGGGCACACAGACAGTCTTAGGATCACCTTGCACTTTCCCTGCCCCAGCCTGGGAGTCAACTCTTTCTCCAGGAAACCCTGGTTTCTTTTAGTGGAGATGGTATTAGGAACCAAAATCTGGGCTGAAAGTGGTAGTGCATACCTGTAATCACAGCTGCTTGAGGGCTGAGGCAGGAGGATTGCAAGTTCAAAGCCAGCCTCAGCAACTTAGTGAGGCTCTAAGCAACTATGTGGCTCAGGGGTCATGCGCCCTGGGATTCAATGCCCCATGCCATATATATATATGGGTACCTTCTGTATTTCAAGACTCAGACTTGATTCCATTGGGGCTGGGATGACAGATACCTGCTTACATCACTAACCCTCCAAATTAAGAATCATTTCTGATGTGAGCCCATTGTTCCTGAGCCTAGGAGACTCCTCAGCTCTCTGTGACCTCCTCTTCCAGCTCTGCAGTGGGACAAGGACTGTGCTGAACCTCCCCAGTGATTTCTCTTGGGACCTCTGGGGTTCCAATGTATAGAAAACATCTTCACATACTTGAGGAAAGTACTAGAACATAGATTTAGCCTAAGGTTCATCTTGAGAGACAGGACTAAAAAAAAATGTGCTTAAGGATAACTTCTCTGTTAGTGCCTAGTTTGGCTAGAAATCTCTGTGTGTCTCTAGCAATGCAGTTTAACGGAAAGACCATAACTTTGAACTTGGAGTTGAGTTCGTAACCCCTGTCTTGTGGGGAACTTAAGCTCTTCAAGCAGCTTTTGCCCTGTCTGTAAAATAGGAAAAAAAATACCCACCTTGCAGAATGTTTCAGGGATTGGAGAGATGTGTCAAAAGATGAGGACACCAGCTGGGTGCAGTGGCGCACACCTGTAATCCCAGCGGCTCGGGAGGCTGAGGCAGGAGGATTGAGAGTTCAAAACCAGCTTCAGCAATTTAGTGAGGCCCTAAGCAACTCAGAAAGACCCTTTTTCTAAATAAAAATTTTTTAAAAAGGACTAGGGAGGGCAAGGATTGTAGCTCCGTGGTAGAGCGCTTACCTCACATGTGTGAAGCATTGGGTTCGAGCCTCAGCACCACATAAAAATAAATAAAGACATTGTGTCCATCTACAACTAAAACAATAATTTTTAGAAAAAGGGGTCCGGGGGGGCTGGGGATGTGGCTCAAGCGGTAGTGTGCTCGCCTGGCAGCATGCGTGCGGCCCGGGTTCGATCCTCAGCACCACATACAAACAAAGATGTTGTGTCCCCCGAAAACTAAAAAATAAATATTAAAATTCTCTCTCTCTCTCTCTTTGTTCTTTTAAATTTTTTTTAAGTTTTTTTTAGAGAGAGAGAGAGAGAATTTTTTAATATTTATTTTTTTAGTTTTCGGGGGACACAACATCTTTGTTTGTATGTGGTGCTGAGGATCGAACCCGGGCCGCACGCATGCTGCCAGGCGAGCACACTACCGCTTGAGCCACATCCCCAGCCCTCTCTCTCTCTTTCTAAAAAAAAAAAAAAGGGGGGGGGTCCAAGGATGTGGCTCAGTAGTTAACTCCTCTGGGTTCAATCCCTGGTACCCCCCCTCCCCCCACCAAATAAATAAATAAATAAAGACAGGAGCACACTGCCTGGTGCAGAGCATTCTTCTCTGATGTCACTTTGGGGTAAGTAGATTCACTTAGGCAGTTGCCTGGACTTGGTGGACATGAAATTCAGCAAGTGCAGGAAATGGGGCCAAGTAGTAGGCTGTGTACCAATGATTTGCAGGCTGCAGAGCTGCTTTCTCTCCTTAGTCATCTATACTCATTTCTAAAGGTTATTTCTTTTTTCCAGTGAACCAGCCACATTTCAGAAATATCATCAAGTGAGCCTGCTTGCAAGATTTAATCAAGATCTGGACAAAGTGGCAACAATTTCCTTGGTGTTCTCTACAGGATCTGTAATAGGCCCTAAGTACAAGCTCAGGATCCTCCGAATTAGGTTGAGGTCCCTTGTCCATCCAGAGAGGTGAGCCTCAGGCAAGGTTTACCAAAGATTTTGTTGGATCCTCGGCTTCTTCCGATATTTTAATGGAACTTCTTCATTCACAGGGAGGGGAGTTAGGGGTTTTCCAAAAATAGTCTCCATTTGAAACAAGTTGCTCAGTAATCCAAGAAATTTATACTGGCATGTGCTTAAAGATAAATGGCCCAGTAACCCAAGGAAATAATGGTGTTATATGCTTAGAGTTACATAATTTCCTCCCTAACCACCCGTGTTCCTTGTAGTTGACAGTTTGTTGTAGAAAAGAAATTTTGTATCATTCAGCAGACTGAGAAAACAGAGATTAATATATATAAGATTAAAGAAAAATTGGATTTTTTCCCTTTGACAATGTCAATATTATGTGTTAAATTTGATAAGTGCATTGAGAATCTCCTTATTCTTAGAAAATACACACAGAAGTGTTAAGAAATATTGACGAGCAAACAACCTATTATCAACGGGTTCAGAAAAAGTGAATGTGTGTGCATAAAGAGAGAGAGGGGATTTTTTTTTTAAGTACAGGGCTATATTTGTATGTTTTGTGATAAATGCCACTCTACCATGTGGTCTTAACTTTTAATCTGTGGGCGGAAAAAGAGACAGGCAATGATGTAATCAGTAACTTTTTCTTGAAGGTTAAGGACACCCTAAAATATTTAATACAAATTTCCTCTAAGAGAATAGTCATTACATCTTAAAATGGTGGGATTTTTTTTTGTACTTTCCTAATTTTCAAAGAGATAACATGCCAATTTTATAAAGTCTGGAAAGTACAGAAAGTGTTAGGAAGCAGGAAACGATCACTCCTAATATCATTCAGAGGTAACCACTGTTAACAGTTTTGGTTATTTCTATTGTTGCTTTTAGACCTAGTTGAAGTCAGATGGGGATAACATTTTATGTTCTGCTTTCTGGCTGTGGATGTTTTACTTACCGGAAGCGTTTTTCCTATTCCATTAGAAACATCTGCTGCATAATTTTATATCCTAAGGATATAATGCAGTTGACTTGACAAGAACGTGGTATTGCTATGATTTTATTGACAAGGGTATTTCTGTCGTGTTTTCCCAGGCCCCAGTTATGTCGGTATGATCTTGTCCTGATGGAAAATGTCCAGACAGTCTTCAAACCTATTCTCTGCCCCAAGTTGCAAATGTAACTGCTGCTGCCGGGGACACGTGGGCAGCAACGATGTCAGGAAAGCTGCATCTACGGCCTCTTTTAAAGCTTCACCTGAACTTTTTCTCAAAGCTCAAAAAGCATGAAAAAAACCAAGGTTATTTTCAGCAGCGTCCTACAGATGTCACATTTCAGAACGTCAAACGACCTTGTGATTATAAAACGATACTGGGAAGGGTGGCCCTAACTAGGGCAAGTCAGAAATAGCCAGCCTTCTGACAGCCCAGTGCTTTGTCTGGCTGCATCCTGGGGCCTGTTTGTTCCGACCTGTCGATTCTGCTGCCCATCACACAGGCTCTTTGTTCCTCAGGGCTTCGGGTACTCATCTTAAGGCTAGGTGGGGGGCTGGAGACCTCCCTGTGGACTTTCTGTTCCCTGTGCCGAATTCTGCACAGAACCCATCACGCAGAAGGGAACAAAACTGACCTACCTCTCAGGGCTGCTGTGTGGAAGACAAGTCTATGAAGGGTTCTTTGAAATCCTATGGGTACCACATCTGTGAAGGTGTGATGAATGTGAATATGTTGTTATTTATTTTAACGTGGCTTAGCTCATATCCTTTGATCATATCCTTTGATAGGGGTGGCCCCTCCTTATCAATACAGCTTCTCTCTGGGGCAGCAAGAAAGCCACATACCCCTGTCCCACCCGCTCTGAAGTAATGCTGGTGCAAAGGAGGTAGAGATGGGCTGGTGGGCTGATGGGCCGGTAGCCTGAGGGCAGTGCTGGGTCTAGGGAGGAAGCAGCAGCCCCACACCCCTGGGACAGGGGACCAGCAGGGGAGGAAAGGGCTTGTTTTTCATCTAAGGTGGAGAAGGATCATTTTATAGGCAACCCTTCTCTTTTTTATATATTTATTTTTTTAGTTATAAGTGGTTACAATATCTTTATTTTATTTTTATGTGGCGCTGAGGATCAAACCCAGTGCTTCACATGTGCTAGGCCAACGCTCTACCTCTGAGCCCCAGCCCCAGCCTGGCTACCCTTCTTTTCCTGTTTAGGTTGTTTGTATGTTTGTTTTGGCAGTGCTGGGGGCCATCCCAGAGCTGCACCACGGAACTGCACTCCATCCCAGGCAACCCTCTTTCTTTCTCTTTCTTTCTTTCTTTCTTTCTGTACTGGGGATGGAGCCCAGGGATGCTCTACCCCTGGGCTGTATCCCCAGCCCTTTTTAGTTTTTATTTTAAGTCGGGGTCTCATTAAGTTGCCGAGGCTGGCCTCGAACTTGTGATCTTCCTGCTTCAGCCTCTGAAGTAGCTGGGATTACAGGTGTACAGTGCATAACCATTAGCTTAAACAGTCTTTAAGAAATGTTTATATTTTCCTTACTATCAATGTAATCCCTGTTTATTGAAGGAAATTTTTTAAATGCACAGTGCAGAAAAACAAAACAAATCAAAACAAAAACAATGATGCTATAACTTGTTTTGCTAACATGGGGATTCAAAGCATAAACCAGTTTGTTCTCAGAGCATCTGCAGCCTCCAGTTTGAGGAATTCTCAGACTTCCCTGGAGGTAGGTGTGACCTCCGAATCTGGAATGACAGCAGGAACCACGTCAAGAAATCCCAGAAGACCAAGTCTAGAATGAAAGGAGGGCAATCCCTGGGGCCAGATGCTCAGCATGAGAGTGGGTGCAACTGTCTCAAAGTCCTCTACCGTTTTCTATGAAAACAGCCTTATTGTACAGAAATGGACTATTTCATAAATGATATAAATCAGTATGTGGCTCGTTCTTAGAGATTTGTATCTTAGATTCATTTGTATCAAATACAGCCTATTTTATGTAAGGGATGGATGGCTGAACTCTGAAGGGAAAAAGGCTCAATGGCACTTGGACATCTTGGCCTCTCCCACCACACCTTTCCTCAGCAATTGCGGACAGAGAGATCAGCGTGCTGAGAGGCCCTGATTTCTTTTTAGAGTTTTATTGTTCCTGCATTTTGATTAGCACAGTTACTTTTTTGTCCTCTTTTCCTTATCTCCAAGCAGGGAGTCAAAACAATTATAAGAAAATGCCAGCAGTAGAATTTCTATTAAGTTATAGACTCTTTGGGTCACTGGGTGCTGGCATAGGACCTGGATTACCATTGTCTGGGCATCTGTGGGGTGGTGGATGGATGGATGAAGGGACGAATGAACGGATAAAGGGAGGGAACTTGTTTATTGGTATGGAGATGAATTTCAGTGAGTTTCAGAAATGGAGAGAAGAAGAAGTGAAGAGAGTCACAGGAGTGGTCACTGTCTTCTCAAAATCTTCCTCCTGACCCCCCTGGAGCTTGTGACTCTTGTTTTCTGTGCCTCTCCTCCTTTTTCTTTGTCTGTATATCTATCTGAATCCCCAATCCATAACACAATTAAATTACAGTCTACCCCTTTCCTCCTCTTTTCACCAGTTCTCTCCTACTGGTCATTTGAATCTTGGCTCAGGGGCCCCTGCTCTGTTGAGTCTTCTCAGGTCTCATTTCCACTCAGAGCTCACCATACTTTTTCCTTCATGCACTGTTTATTTTTACATTTTTTTTTTTAGCTTTTCATAATTTTAATATTTGGCAGAGACTTATTCACAAGCTTCTAATTAAAAAAAAATTATGAACAAACTCATTAGACCTGAGCAAATTTGCAGAAGATTTAACATATTACAATGCTTGTTTTCACAGTTATCATTTACAGAAAATTACAAACCAAAGCAACTAAAATTTACTCTCTACAAACCTCCTACAATGGTCTACATCTATTTGAGTTTATTTTTCACTATCTTCTTACACTTTGGAACAGGCATTTTACATTAGGATGATGTTACTCTTCCTCTCCTTCTGTCAGCTAGAAGAGTCTCCATTATCTTGATTCACAATCATAGTGCTCTACCACTGTTACTTCTAGTACAGGTTCCATCACCAATATTAATTATGCTCTAAGGAAAATAACTAACTGCCATTACATAGAAATAATGGAGGGGTAAGTAATTGAGAAATTTCATTCCCAAGCATTTTAGAAAATCACAAATACAATCTGGCTTCCTTTTTAAGTAAGAGAAATCAGCATGCATACTAGTTTGATCCAAAAATGTAGCTACTCTTTTTTTTTTTTTTTAAATTTTTTATTGTGGGTTGTTAAAAACATTACAAATTTCTTGACATATCATATTCCACACTTTGATTCAAGTGGGTTATGAACTCCCACCTTCACCCCATACACAGATTGCAGAATCACATCAGTTACACATCCATTGATTTACAAATTGCCATACTAGTGTCTGTTGTGCTCCGCTGCCTTTCCCATCCTCCCCCCTCCCCCCTCCCCACTACATTTATTTTTGTAATTATGTGATTAATGTCCATATTCACTCGTCTGTGAGGCACGAACCATGTACCTATGATATAGTCTGCCTTCAAGAAATATCTATTAAATAAACACTCTCTATCATCTTCTGAGTCCTATGGTTTGTTCTGGAGCATGGCTCGACTGAGAAAAGACTACCTCTCACTCTAACCATATCCCATTGCCACAAGGGCACCTAAACTTCTCAGCCTTCGATTTTTTCCCCCATAGGATCTTTGTTTTTTTTTTAAATTATATATGATAACAGAATGCAGTACAATTCATATTACACATATAGAGCACAATTTTTCATATCTCTGGTTGTATACACAGTATATTACACCAATTTGTGTCTTCATACCTGTATTTTGGATAATAATGTCCATCACATTCCACCATCATTTAAAACTCTATGCCCCCTCCCTTCCCCTCCAACTCCTCTGTCCTATCTAGAGTTTGTCTATTCCTCCCATGCTCCTGCTCCCTACCCCACTATGAATCAGCCTCCTTATATCAGAGAAAACATTCGGCATTTGGTTTTTTGGGATTGGCTAACTTCACTTAGCATTATATTCTCTAACTCCATCCATTTACTTGCAAATGCCATGACTTTAATCTCTTTTATTGCTGAGTAATATTCCATTGGGTATATATACCACATTTTATTTATCCATTCATCTATTGAAGGGCATCTAGGTTGGTTCCACAGTTTAGCTATTGTGAATTGTGCTGCTATTGGCTGTGTCCCTGCAGTATGCTGTTTTTAAGTCCTTTGGGTATAGACAGAGAAGAGGGATAGCTGGGTCAAATGGTTTAGTCTTAGACTTTTCTATGATCTTGGTCCATTGTCTTTAGAGGCCATTTCCCAGGCTCCCCAGAAAAAAAAATAGAAGTGAGCTCTTTTTTCACTTCTAATCACCTCTTCCAGGGGACCCCACCACCATTTCTCAGCAAGCCCATCTGTCCTGAAGTCTGGGATCCCCACCCCCCATTTCAGCACTACTGCTAACACCCTCCAGGACACGGTGTTACTGGGTGACTCCACGCCTTGGTCCCTAGGCTTCCCTTGGCTTTACTGTGACTCTCCCTTGGCCACCCCAGTTGTCACTGACTTCATACACACTTCCATCACTGCTTTTATGATACCATGCAGTGACTTCTCTGTGACTGTAACTCCCTGGATACTGTGAGCCCACAACAGCCCCTGCTGCCTGTCTTTGCCTCCCTGGCACCAAGCACAGTCCAGGCACAGAGTAAGCGCTCCATGAACACCTGTTGAGCAGAATGGAATGGATTCCATGCTTAGGAATTGGAGAGAACCACCTGGTTTAAACATTAATTTATTTCACTCTGCAAGTTCCAAAGACCTGAACTTAGGAACGTGTGACCTTGGATCCCTACTCCAGGCTCTCGTTCCTGCAGAACCCCATCTTAGCTAAAGAGGCTTTGGGGACCAGGGGCCAGAATCCACTCACATTGACCCAAACTTTATAGATTATTGAGAGAGAGGGCAGCGGGGGGACACTCAAGGAATCCCAGTGCTGTGGTTTGGAGGTTGAATGTCCTCTGAAGACCTTAAAGGATTGGTCCACAGGGTGGTGCTCTGGGAGGTAGGGGAACCTCTTATAGGGAGCTCCTGAGGTCGTTGAGGGTGGGTGCTTGATGGGGATTGTGGGATCCCAGGCTTCCTCGTCCTCTCTTCGTTTCCTGGTTCATGATGTACGTGGTTTTGCTTTACCACATGCTCCTGCCACGATGAGCCATCCCTGCCAGGGGCCCAAAGCAATGGGGCCATCTGATGCTGATGCTTCTCCAGAAGCAGGAGTCAAAATAACCCATTTTTCTTTATAAGTTAATTGCCTCAGATATCTTATTATAGTGATGGAAAGCTGACATGCCTAGAAAGAGGTGACTATCAGACCTCAGGAAAGGGAAGAGAGGGGTGGCCCTGGAGCCTGCAGCAACAAGAGGTTGTAGGCCCATGTTAACCCTAATGTTCTCCCACCAGTTCTCCGATTGAGCTCAGCTTCTTTAACAGGACAGCTTCATTGGGTGGTTGGCTACTGTTATGGTTTAGATAAGACAACACAAGAAAATTTAGAGGTGAGAAAATTGTGTTGTGAGAGTTTTAACCTAATCAGTGTGTTATTCCACTCGAATGGATTAACTGGGGGATAGTTGTAGGCAGGAGGGGGGAATGGCTGGAGGAGGTAGGTCACTGGGGGCCTGCATTCGGGGTTTATATTTTGTCCCTAGTGAGTGGATCTCCCCCCTCCGCCTTCCTGTTGCCACGTTCTGAGCTGCTTTCCTGTGATGTCCTCTGGACCCACTTCAGGTCCAGAGCTATGACGGTGGCCACCTATGGACTGAGACCTCTGAAACCATGAACCAAAATAAATTTTTCTTCCTCTACATCATTCTTGTCAGGTCTTTTGGTCACAGCAAAAGAAATTCTGACTCAAACAACCACTCCCTGTATAGGTGATCCCAAAATCCAAGAAGTGGACACTGCCCTAGGGTCCTTGGGGTGGGGAAGATGTCCATCCTGTTCCATTCAGTTATGTGTGGGGTGGGTAAGGAGCACAGTCGCATGGTGTTCAGAGCTACTCCTTTCAACTGCTCTGGGCAATGAATCCAGGAAAGGCTGCGTGCTACTGACCAAGAGCCCTGATGGGTGCCTGGCTCTTCACTCTCCCTTGAACCTCCCGCTTTCCTCCAGTTTCTCAGGCCACATGTGCCCTGGTGGGGGGTTGTGGTTGACCTGGTTGGGCTGCTTGGGCATGTGCTGTGGATGAGTGGCTCAGAGGAAGCTGCTGCAGGTGCTGGGTCGGGGGCTAGGAGTGTGGAGGAGACTGAGACCAGGGTGGAAGTGGCTGGTGTTGGAGAGCCCAGGCCAGGTCTTCTTCACCAAGCAGGAATCAGCCTAGGACCCCAGTGGGGCAGGTCAGGGGTAGCAAGGAGATGCTTGGGTAGTGAGCCTATAGAAAGTAGATCTGAACCTCTTGGAAGAGTTGGCCAAAGTCCTTCTCACCTTGTGTTGGCCAAGTCCTATGACATTCAGGTTTTCTCACTGGATTTATCCAAGGACTTTGACACTGGCTATTGAAAGGAAAGTGACCACAACACTCAGAGCGACCAAGAGATCTTTATTGCAGCAGTTCAACAGAGGAGAAAAGAAAGAAAGAGAAGAAGAAGAAGAAGAAGAAGAAGAAGAAGAAGAAGAAGAAGAAGAAGAAGAAGAAGAAGAAAAAGAAGAAAGAGAGAGAGAGAGAGAGAGAGAGAGAGAGAGTAAGAGAGACAGAGAGAGCAAGAGAGAGAGAGAGCAAGAGAGACAGCAAGAGAGAGAGCAAGAGAGACAGTAAGAGAGAGAGAGCAAGAGAGAGAGGGAGCAAGAGAGAGGGGCCCGGCAGGAGGGAGTTTTTGTAGCCCAAATCTAATAGGGTCTCTGGGTTTGTCACACAAGGGGGTTAAGTGTTCGGCCTTAAGCGGCGAGCTGAGTGTTCAGCCTTGAGCACGGGGGACGAAGCGCTCAGCCTTGAGGGGGGTTTGGGCGTTTGGGCTTGAAGCAAACAGGTGATAAAGAACCAGACACAGGGTTTGAGAAGCCAGGTCATCCTGCAGCTAACTTTGTTTGGCATGCCCTGCAGACAACTTATTCAGCCTGTCCTGCACCTAACAGCTATGGTTCCTTTTCTGAAAATCTCTCTTGGGATCTCAGGACACTTAAAAAATTTATTTATTATTTTTAGTTTTAGGTGGACATAATATCTTTATTTTTATTTTTATGTGGTGCTGAGAATCGAACCCAGTGCCTCATGCATGCTAGGCGAGTGCAATACCACTTGAGCCACATTCCCAGCCCCCACTTTTTTTTGTTTGTTTGTTTCCTGTTTCTCCAACATCCCTGAATGAGTCATCTGTTCTCTTTGGTGGATTTCACTGTTTCCTTCCCAGGTTTCTAGTTTCAGTCTTCTCTTTCAAAAGGGCATGCATGGTCGGGGAGGAGTGTGTTTGCAAGGTGTGTGACCTCCACTGCTTCTTTGACGTACTTGCTTCCCTCTTCCTAAGCTTCAGTTTTTCTGGACTATGAAGAGGGGTAGTTAAGAGTCCCTGCTTCATGTTATATGGAATAAGTAAATTCATGCATATAAAATGCTGCCTTTGGTCTCTAGACTTAGTAGATATTCAATGAATGTCACCTGTAGTCATTTTCTTCTCATGGAATCCCTAGGAGACCTTCCCTCTTCCCCTCATGATCTCAATGATCTCCTCTAGACAGATGGTTTGGATAAGTGTCCCCCAACAGCCCATGTGTTAAACTGTTAGTCCTTGGCTAGGCAATACTGGAAGGTGGTGGAAACTTTGAGTCAGGGCCTTGTGGGAGGTCTTCAGATTTTTGGGGATGTACCTTTAAAGAGGATAGTGGGACCCCAGCCCCTTCCTCTTCCTCTCTATCACCTCCCAGCTTCGAGGTGAATTGTTTTGCTAAGCCATGAGCTCCCAGCCAGGATGAGCTGCCTCACCATTGGCCTAAAAGTAACAAGACCAACCAACAGTGGACTAAACCCTCTAGAACTGTGAGCCCAAATTAGACTGTTCTTCTTAAGTTTCTTATATCTGTTGTTTTCCTATAGTAAGAGAAAGCTAATATGATCCTCAAATATATGACATTCTCTCGGTTATAACAATGTTCACTGTGTCCTGGGGGGAAAGATGATGAACCTGGAGCATGGGTTTGCAAAAGGAGCGCAGGCATTTCTGAGGGATTCCTAGCCACAGAGGAAGAATGATGGCAGGAAATAGGAAAGCTTTCTTAGGGTGGGTGGCTACTGTCTTGAGTATGGAAAAAGGAGTAAGAATTTGCTAGGCAGAAATTGTCAGATAGAGAGAAGAATGTTATCAGAGGTATGCATGTGCATGTTCAGCTGAAATGGAGGGATGAAACTGAAAATCTCCCATTTTCTTAAATGAAGAACTTCAAACACATACAGAAACAGAGAAACCGGTACAGAATCTGCCTCCCTGTGTCCATTACTCAGCTTCAGCAACAGTCAACTCACAGCCAATCTTGTTCTATCTAAACTCTACTCACCAAACCCATCTCA